TATTGTTCTCATTACACTTAATTATTTAATTGATTAAAATATTTTATTTTTCTTTATAATAAAATAGTGTATTAACATTAAATAACGCAATATTTATATTAAATAATTTAGTTAATTAGAATCAATAAAATAAATTTATTGTGTCAAATACTTTTTATTTGTATAAAAAAAATGAAATATTTGAGTGAAATAAATAAATTAATAGTTACAATTATAACTCATTATTTTCGTTTCAAATAAACATTCAATTGATTAATATATTTTTTTATTTGTCTTGATAAAATAGTGTATTAGTATTAAATAATTTAGTTGACTTAAATCAATTAAATAAATTTATTGAATCAAGTAATTTTTATTCGTTTCAATAAAACGAAATATTTGAGTGAAATAAATAAATTAATTGTTTCAAGTAAATCATTATTATCTTTTCAAAAAAATATTTAATTGGTTGAAATATTGTTTTATTTGTCTTGATAAAGTAGTGTATTAGCATTAAATAACGAATTATTTGTATTAAATAATTCAGTTTATTTGAATCAATTACATAAATTTATTGTGTCAAATACTTTTTATTTGTATCAAATAAACGAATTGGCTTGATCTGAGAATATAAGAGGCTTGGTCGTTCAGGCTGTGTTGGCATAGTGCATTCTTTATATATTACAATTATAGAACGTGTTCAATGGGAAATTTCAACATATGATAAACGTAAGATTTAGACCCCTATAATCATCCATTTAAAAAATATCTCTCCTGAATACAAAATATCAGCTATTACATAGAATCACTTTCTATCTTAAAATAAAATACTCTTTTACTATGTGGTGTTATGTTTGTCGTTAAGATAACAGCATTAAGGGATATCGATTTTTCGCTGCTGCTTAACAAACGATAAAAAAAGTAATTCTATAAAATTTGAAATTTATTTCAAATCTGATATCAAAAATTTTGAATCAATTAAAATTTTTTAAATAATAATAATTGTTATTGATTTTATTTTTAGATTTATTTTTAAAAAATTAAATTGTTCATTATTAGTTTTTCAATTTTATAAAGTTGAAAATGTAGTATTTTTTTCATTTATAAAATACAAGTTGCAAAATTCTTAATTGTAAAAAAGAAAGGATGAAATATTCTACAACACTGAGAGAACAAAGCAGTTGAGGCAACTAATAAAATGGTTACGAATACCATTTTGATTAGTAAACTATACTGCTGCTAATTCGACAGTCAGGGATACCATTTATAATAGTAAAAAGTTAAATAGTTGTCGTTACCATTTTATTAGTAAGGAGAACTCACTTTAGTTAGTACCAACAACTAATAAATATTGTAAGAGATAACATTTAGTTAGTTAACCTTACTAATCAAATAGATAAATAAATAAAATAAAATACAAGCGCAATTATTTATTTAATATTATTCTTATTCAAAAAAATATGTTTATTATAAGGTTAATATAACTTTCTTGCTGTACCAAATAAGATTTAAATCTTATTATTAAACATATTTTTTGTATGATGAGAATAATTAATTAAATTATTTTACATTAATTATAAAAAATGTATAAGAACACAAACACAAAAGTCCACGTTTTCTGACGACATTGTTTCACGAGCATGAGTGTGCTTCACAGTGTTGCCAACCGAATTGCTAACAACTGCCAACTACGTTTACTAATAAAATGGTAAACCCAACTTCTCTGTTAGTTAAACTTTTGTATTGGTGTTTACTGGAACTATTTTTGTAGATGTGGTTGCGCTTGACATCGAAAATATTAAAATTCACTAAAAACATTACTGAATTTTACTAACTAAATAGGTAGGAGAATAAATACCTCATTTACTAATAAAAAAGTAGTAGCCCCAACCATTCATTTCTCTCAGTGAAGAAAATAGTATTCTTATAATCTCCCGACGCTAAAAAGAAGAAACCAAATTCTGCAAGTATTTTTGAATTTGCATTAAAAAAAACATTTTTTAAAGCAGAATTTTATAATTTAAATAAATCACTATTAGATAGACAAAAATTTATTTAAAGCAACCAAAAAATACACGTATATTAAACTTAACTTTTCGTTAATTCATCCAAATTATTCAACTGCATATATTCTTTTATTTCAAAAAACTAAATACGTTCTTAAATTAAGCTACGCACATTTATGTTCTGTTCCGTTAAACAAATATTTTGCTGCTTATAATAAATAAATTTGTTTCGATTCAAATAAAACGTTTTATTGAATGCATTTTGTATTATTTTATGATATTCACGCTCACAATCAAAGAAAAGTTTTATTTCAATCAATTTCAAACATTTTTTTATATTAACATAATGTTTTGGTTAAACAAAAAAAATTTTAAACAAAATTTGTTTGATTCACAATAAAAGAAATAATTCGTTGGTATAGCTAGAATTATTTCTAGTTTTCCCATAATGAATTGGTAAAAAGATGTTTGGCTACTGTCATATATTATATAGGCATCAGTTCAGCAATACATAATTCCGTTCCATACATATAGATGTTTAAGTCAACAAAAAAGTGGGTTACATAACCTAATTTTATCGCCAGTTCAAAATAAAACCCCAGCCATATTTATTTGTCAGTTCCCCCCAAAAGCACTTTTTTCAGTACAAATAAATATTTATTTGATCTAAATAAACGTTTGATTTATTTTAATAAATTTTTCGAACGAAGAAAGAATTTTATTTTATATAACTTTTTATTATTTCAAACAAAAGTTTGGATGGTGGCGCTCCACGAGAAAATGGATCTTAACGGCAAAAAATGTTAGGTTACGTTTAGTGATAATTTTATCTTGATTAAATGTTCATTTTTAATTATGTAAAATCAAAATCAGTTTCTTCGGAATATTTTGGATCTAATGAAGACATAAACATCAGTGGTTTGTATTAAGAATTCTCTAACTATAGAGACAAAAGAGACTTTTAGAATAAAAAATTACTTTTTATCATACGTCTTTCGGTCTTTTTTAAATTTTTTCAAATAGAAATAAATTCAAAGAAAATAAAATAATTTATATTGAATTAAGGCACTCTCACACCTTTTTGGCTGCCTGCCTGCCTGCAGGTTACCATGGCAACGCACGAGTGTGAGTAAGACAGAAAATTTGAATATTCAAATTTTTAAATTTTCTGTCGCACTCACTCTCATGCGTTGCTATGGTAATCTGCAGGCAGTCAAAAAGGTGTGAGAGTGCCTTTATTTTTTTTTTATTTTTGAAAAATGTTTAAATATAGTTGTGTACGTTATACAGGACGTCGCGGCATGAATGAAGTGATTCCCATTCATCTCTGATGTTACACTTTGTCACATTTGATCTCGTACCTCCAATAGCTCTAAATACGTGACTTCAAGTGTAAATGTTCTTAAATTTTAAGATTGTCACTTTTGAAAAATTTGATTCAATATAATTAACGACTTCGAAATTTTTTAACAATGAATATCTAGATCAACATCTCTTTGGATTCATCGCTAATGTAATTGGTATAATATTACATTATTATTTTTATTCTAGTATTTCCCATGACAAAGTTCGGGAAATATCTGCTTAATATTAAAATGTTTGCTCGCGAGGATGTACAATTAAGGTCTAAAGTTTAAGCGAATATTGTACAACAAAATTTCAGGCAATACTGACTAGTGTATACTATTTTTATACTTATTTTTATGTTAACATTTACTCAACATTGTACTGCTATATTTTCTAAACATTATTCTACAATATTCGTATAAATTTTGAGTTCGATATTTTCTTAAAAGTAAGCTTTGTTAACGTTAAGTGATTGATAGATAAAGAGGGGAAGTGAGGTGCGAGAATATTGAATTTTGTTAAAATAATTATTATTTATAATATAGTTGAAATTTATTATAATAAGCACTGCAGTGACGTCACTTCTAACACACATTTTCTTACAATTTACTAATGTTTTATAATAATTATTCTAACAAATATATCATTTTTTTGCATCTCATTGCCCTTCTATATCATATTTTAGATTTCTTTGCAAAATTTCAGCTCAATCTGTTTAATATTTTACAAGAAAAACGGTCGACTTATCACGTGACCTAACATCACACTCTGAAATTTAAAAAATTTAATAAATAAATTTTAAAGTACTCTTTTAAATAAATTGATGAACAATGTATTGTATTTCTTTTTCTAATTAGACATCAAAATATTTTTTTTGTTAATAATATTAAGTAAATATACAAATCGTTTAAAAATGCATTATAAATACATATTTGAAAATACAGTTCAAACGCTTCACGCAGAGTATCGCAACAAAAATTTTGAAGACGCTTTAAACGGCTCGACCAGATCGTAGATCTTTGGGGTTTATAGAAAAATGTACTTCTAAAAGGCAAGTTAAGTTAACCAAAACACACTCTCTTTCTCGTCTCCACCACCATCTCCGCCTTTTCTTCTTGAATAAAATGAGGATCCCCAAATATTAAAATACCTGCAGTTAAGGATCACTTGATAGGCTCTCTTTAAACACCAACAGTTCTTTGTTATATAATGGGGCATTGATATTTCTGACAATATCCGAAGGTAAATCCCTGAAACTCCTACCTGATCTAAATAACGCGTTGTTTGAAAAAAAGATTTATTATTGCAAAAAACATAAAGATTTAATGTAACTAAATCACTTAAAAATGTAACAAACTTATCATCAGAAATACTTTACATTATAGGTTTGATAAATAATCGCCACTTTGTGAGCACTTGTAAAATTCACTATACAAAACATTTCTGATTGCGTCAGATGTGAAAATATTTGAAACGTCTAATTGCGTGTACAATTAAACGCAAATAAAATAAAAACAAAACATCATGGATTTACCTTAATGAACATGAAATAGTGTCTCAATCCCTACTTTATTTGCCAAACATGTTATTCTAAAGTTTGTAAATTTAAGTGAAATTCATCTGGAAAGAAACATATATCTAATAAAAACCTTTGAAAGGCACTATTACCTGGATTTTGTCGCTTCTCGTGACTGGTCCCAAGTATCGCATTAACGCTGAACTTGAGGTGAGGTTTCTCCTTGTCCTGCACCCTTCTGCATCTCGAATTTGTACAATGTTCATCCCCACAAGTGCAAGTTTCCTTTTCTATCCTACTTAGTCTGTCAGTCTCTTGATCCATGTGCAAACCTATTTCATCCGACCTATTCATACTCCGTTCAAATTGTCCATGTATTGGCAATGTTAGTCTTTCTCGATTATTTCGCAGAACATCATTATGCATACTACTAATTAGTTCCATTGGTATTTGATCCTCGTCAATTGATTGTTTTGAAACTCTTTCAGAAAGTTTCTCTATCGCACTTAAACGATCAACTTGACTTTCCGTTTGATCATTCTCCAAGTCTATCTGTTTTTCCTGTGATTCTTTGTCTTGAAACGATATTATTTGTTCATATTCATTTATTCTAGTTCCTCCTCGATAATGTTTTTCAGCTACAATTCTATTTCTCTCAATGTCCACAGAAGAGTCCATAGTCCGAATAATCACTCCCGATTCTTTTTCTCTTCTGGACATCAAAGCCCAACCTAGAGTAATTCGAGTCAAGTCAGCGCTTGAACCTTTTGACCTGAGAAGGTTATCCACCATAAAGGATGGCGAAGTCATATCGTTTGGAGTTAGATTTTTCAGCATTGCTGATGTTGGGGGAAACATCATTTATTCATTGTTTGCAATTTGAAACCCATGGGCAACGAGATTTCTTTTTTGATGAATAATCTAATAATTATTTTTGAAAAGACGATGTTTCACAGAAAAACTATAAGTACACGTAAATCAATTCTCCACTTTGTTTCACTATGTATAATATTATCAAAACACGTTTGCACTTATCACAGCATGTATAACGGTATTAGCGAGGAAATAGATTTGCGATTTAGTTTCGGCACGAGCAACAATTCAACTAATGTATGGCAATTGGACACCACAATGTGAATGTGCAACCCTCGAATGAATGCCTGCAAAGACGTAGGTGGTTTCTAACCCCTCCTTTTGCATCCGTGAAGTGTGCTTAACGTGCAGTCCATTCCCCTCCTCTTTAACTGTAGTTCGCTTTCCCTTTCTCTCTACCTTCATAGGTGAGATAATGCGGACTATAAGTCGAGCAATTCGGGGTTTGGCTGGCTTGGTAATGCCGTAATAAAATCATACTCCTATCAAACGACGCTGCGCACCCCTTTAAAAGGAAAAGCTGGAGGGGTAAAAAAGCTTCAGAGACTCACATTCCTTTAGTCAACGATTGGGTTTTATTTGACGAAGCCACCTTCCTGTTGGCCAATCAGAGGAACAGAGGAAGATACCGGCCACGCCCTGCGACCCTAGGCAGTAGGGGCGTTCGCTGCACCCTTATCAACTTTATTATCTTCACTAGTTATACGTAATTCTACCTAGATCGTTTCCTGGTATGTGATTTTCTTGTAAGTATACACGTATTATCAGCGCATTCACATTTGGTCATAGCACGTCAGATCGGAACATTACAAACTGTTAGCAGTGATTTTGTAAGCAATGAAAATCATAAATGAAACACTAAAACTAAATAAGTGTATCTTTCTTTGACATAATATAATTACTTTCTATTGTATTATTTTACATCCGTTTTACATTAATAATACCTTTTTTAATAACATTTTTCTTTGTTATATTATTGAATAATATTTATTGATGAATTATTAAATGATATTCATGAAAAAACGTGAATAGAAAGATATATTAATTTTGTATATCATTACAAAAAATTGTAATAATTTACTTATAGAACAATAAAATTATATCATAAACGTTGAAATTTAAATAATTTAAATTTAACCCTCGGAGCACACACAGGGTCTGTGTGAACCTATCTTTTAGTTTAAACTTAAATTTCTTTTAGAAATTTTTACAATCACATGTGCTGTAACCTGAAAATAATTGTTCTAGTAACACGTTTCAATGCTCCCCGAATACAATGCTTCAGTCATTTGTCGCCTAGATGTCGTCAAAAAATAAAAATCACCTCCATTAACTTGCAAAAAATGTTTTTTCTACAAACTACAATATACAATTTATTTTTGTTTTGTTGTACCAATATTCGAGAACACAAAAGAAAAATATTAAAAATTATAGAAGAACTACAATCTTTACAAAATATAATTTTTTTCAAGTATCAAAACTTATTCTACAATGTTTAAAGAACATTAAAAGTTTAAGTAATTAATTTATTGAATTCAAAAGAATATATTAAGAAATAATATTAATGACGCTGTATATTTTATTATTGATGTAAACAAATTGAATAATTCATATTTTATTTTTTAAAATTAAGCTTCTATTTACTCCGAACTTTAAGAAAACATATGCCAGGTGAAAATGATCACGTGGAAATGTACATGGATATGCGACACGTGGAATTTCGCGTGGTATTTTAGAACAATTGAAAGCACCCTTATAATATTGTATACTGATCGCTTAGAACGATATTCTCGAAACGGGCTGCGTGAAAATCATTCTTATAGTGACAATATGAGTTAACTGTGTTTTTCCTTCATACGGCAGAATAGTGCATTGACTGTCTGTCCCAACGGGCAGACCACTTTTCGCCGCCAACTCATCCCCGTGTACCTGCTCAGCGGCAAATTTTCGTCCCCGTATGTTCCCCCACTACCGGCCGTACTGTACCCCTCCTTTCAGTTCATTTTGGGTAACAATTGAATTTTATTTGATTTTAAAATGAAAATTTTAATAAAATACATTTTTTTAGTATAAAATGTAGATCTTCTTCAGATCTTCTTCAATTCAATTTTTTAACAAATTTTAAACTAAAATAATTCTTCATTAAATTAATTATTTTTAATAATTTTAATGAAATTCATCACAAATTCAATTATTTCAAAATTATTTTTCAAATAAAATTTTTATAAAATTTAACAATTGTTTATAATTTTAAAAAAATATCGCAATAAAATTGAATTATTTTCAAAAATTCCAATTCAAAATAAACTAAAATTAAATTATTACCCAAAATTTCAATTAAAATTTAATTATTATCCAAAATTTCAATTCAAAATCAAAGAAAATTCAATTATTTTCAAAAATTTTCAATTTAAAATCAAATAAAATTCAATTGTTACCCAAAATGAACTGAACGGAGGGGTGCAGTACGGCCGGTAGTGGGGAACATACGGGGACGAAAATTTGCCGCTGTTGGCGGCGAATCGTGAATCGCCCGTCCCAACCGCAATATCTACTTCGAGTTGCGCGGAGCAGACTAGATCTGATCAATAATGGGACTAGATCTAGTCCCCCTCCATGAAACTCGAAGTAGATGGGACCGACAGGCATGGACACCATCAAATACACGTATACAAATTTTTTGCTAAACTAGTTTGTTTGAAAATGAGAAAGGTCGAAAAAGTGACAAAATACAAAGTAAAAAGATACATAAAGTATCTTGCAGGTCGATGAATTTGTAAACGATGTTTATGACGTCACCTAAATACAACATGAAAAGAACACAAAGTCACATGTGTTTCTTTTACTTTGTAATAAGGAGCTCGAGCGAGAACTGACTTTACAAAGTGAAAAGAATTTCTGCACTTGTGATGTTTTGGAATCGTAAAAAATCTTCTGAATGAATACAATTTGCAAAGTAAGAAAAACTCGATAACGTTTGTCATTCAATCGGAACACTTCGAGAGCCAAATTTTTAATATTATTATTGTTTTTCTTTGGTTATGTGAAAGAATTTTTTATATTGTAGTTCCTAAATAATTATTCTTTATTTTGGATAGAACTATTTCTTCTTAAGAAAAATACTTACAATTTTTGATATTTGGAACTTGATAAACACATTAATATTGGCAACATGTAGCTCCGCAAGTACACTGAAAAAAATTGTGACTGAATTTTACATCGATGCTCGAGGGTGAAACGTAAAATCACACTATCTGAGAAAATTTAATTTTCTGTAAGTGAAATTCATTTTCACAAATTTAAATTTTAGAGCAGTACACGGAGAGAAGATGTTACACTATATATTGTACCTGACATGTTAGTACACATTCTACAAAACTGATCCACAATCAAGCAGATTGTGGACAACCAATCATATTTGTGCATTTCGTTTCTGTCGATAAATTGTTTTTCATTTGATATACGTGTAAATGCTCCCTTAGATGTTACTAAATAAATTAGTAAATTTAGTCACAATCCAAAATTAACCACTCTGTTTATGAGATTATATACTGTCACAATAGTAGGATCTAATATACACCCTTTTTTCTTTGTATGGTTGAAATTTTCCAATATACACGGCGAAAAATGATTAAGCTGTAACAGTAAATATGCATACGGAAAAAAATAGTTCGTGAAACTTTCGTAAACTAGTTTTTCACTTTTAGACGGTCCCAAAGTTTGGAAATCTTTCATTAACTTTTTCCAAGATTTCACGAACTATTTTTTGTGCGCGTGCGCAGACATTGATTGTTATGAAAAGAGTGATGAACTTTTGTGAAATCTTGGAAAAAGTTAATGAAAGATTTCCAAACTTTGGGACCGTCTAAAAGTGAAAAACTAGTTTACGAAAGTTTCACGAACTATTTTTTTCCGTGCATTAGCTGAAATCAGTTAGCTGCCAATAGATATTTGCTACATTTTATGAAAAGTATTACCTTTAATCCTTATCTGTAATAGCTAAGGATTAGCAAGTCCGTGCGTATAAACCCGGTCTCCGGCCGGCATTGCGGCGTGACACCAATTTTACTTCGCGTCAAAAAGCAGGGACAGTTAAACGTGGAAAAGTTTTGTTAAATGCAGTGATATATATATATATATATATATTAGCCTTATTTCTTTCAGCGCTCCCGTGCAAAAATTTCACGTCGCCCTCTTACCCGGCAGTGTTTCTTATATTTTTTCTGAATGTTTTTATTTAAATAAATTTTTAGATCATTATTTGTAAATGAGAAGTAATATAATTAATCAAATAAAATAATTTTAATATAATTATTCACAGGTAATATATATTTTTACGCAAAATATTAATAGACAAAAATTGAGTATTAAAAGAACAATATAATTGTGAATATATAGTTAACTTTGCGAAATTTATGCATTTCGATCATTATTAATATCAGATTTAGCATAGATGGTGGGTTCACATATGTATCGATTTTTATATATTTTTCAAGGCTCATAGTTCATTCAGTGGAAATTTTTTTTACCAATCGAAAGGGCAGGAAAAAACCTTTCGAAAACATATAGGTCAAATTTTTTTCATCTTTCTGTTTAAAAGTTACAAGTCTTCAAAAATTCACTGTTTAACCCGAGTACGAAATGCCAAGACTGACAATACAGCCCAGTAACGTCTGCCGAAGTACGGCAAACGTTACTGGACCAGTACTGGCGATCAATTCGTCCCATTATTGGGCCAATATTGGCACCAATTCTCGGTTACTCTAATTTGCCATTATTAGGCCGAACTCCGTCACTTTACTGGGCCAATATTAGCACCAATAATTGGTAATTCTGATTTGTCTTAATTGGGCCTAACTCCGTCATTATTGGCACATTGACGGTTGAAATGTTAAATTTATTTTGACAAGTCATTTTTTCCAAAGTTGGAACGAATCTTAGACCAGTAATGCCGCATTAATGGCTGAAATTTTCTTCAAATGCAGCTTATCAAAACATTTTTGTGTTGAGATTCACATATCCGCGTATAGTGTAGTGGTTCGGTTCCCGCGAGCGTTAGAAATTTTTCAAATGTTAATACAATTGCGCTTTCAATTAGGACTTACATTATAAATGTATAATGAATGAATTAGTTAATTAATTAATAATTATAATTTAAAAAAAAAATTTAACTTTGACAATACTGAGCCACTAATGGCAGCTAAGACTGTCTGCAACGGCGCTGTGCCAGCTTTGCCAATACTGGGCCAGTATTGGGCCGTGTAGATTTTCGCACTTGAGAAATTTTTCAAAAAAATTCAACCCCTCCCTCTCCTACATTTTTCGAAAAAACCTAACAATACTTCGTGGTTAAAGTACTCACCCCTATCCTAGGGCTAAACATATGTGCAAGTTACAGCCCGATACGATCAACTTTTTTTCACTTAGTACGCTACAGAAATTTTACCTTTTA